TTGAACGCATACTTGGAGGACGTCCAACACGTACGCAGATCGACTAGTGAAAGAAGGAGCTAGAAGACAGGGGCCCCCTTTTGATGCAGGACTGGGGGTAGTTTGACAGCTAGCCTAGCCAGTTGTCCTTACCGTGCACAGGAACTTATTTTTTGAAAGCTTATTGTCAATCAATGTAAAAGGGCGAATCTATAGGCCCTTATTTTTTGGCTTTACTTGACATCTCAACTTTTCTAAGCTTCCGTATATTGTTGTATCATCTTTGTTCATATTTGACCTCTTATTTTTTTACCAAGTCCTTGCCTGTGGGTGACTGCGGAAATGTGTTTTTGTAGTTTCTTTCTCTTTTAATACGAGTTAACCTTCCCTCAAAAAAAACTTTGTCCGACAAGTTCAGAAAAAGGGCCATGTGGAGGATTTCGTATAAAAGTGCAGTTGGGTCATTGATATATGTCATGTTGGGGGCAAGACCGGACTTATCATTTGCGATGAGTATGAGTAGTAGGTACCGGAGTACTTCAGGTAGGGAGCACTGGAAGGTGGTTAAAAGAGTTCTACGATATTTGAAGGGAGTCATTAGTCTCACACTCACCTATGGAGGAGGCTTGGACATACAAATATAGGGATATTTAGATGCAGACTATTTGGGTGATCCAAATGAAATGAAGTCCACATTTCGGTATATAACTTCACACCTGCCAGTGGAGCTATTTCCTGGTGCTCAAGGCAACGGGACGTCGTTACACTATTTGACTATGGAGTCAAAAGTACGTGGCTTGTTGTCTCGGAGCAAAAGAAGAGGTTTGGTTGAAGAAGTTCTTGAATTAGCTTAGATTTGATCCAGCAAAGTGCCCATGCGTAAGGATCTTCTTCGACAACCAGGCATCGATTTGTGTGGCGGAAGAGTCACGATTTCGCAAGAAATTCAGGCACATTAAGGCAGACTATTATTGCATTTGCAATGAGATCAGAGCATGAGAGATCAAGGTTGTTTATCTCCCCATAGATGCTACATTAGCAGATCCCTTCGAAAAAGTATTGCTGGCAAATGTTTTTGCATGTACATGGTATGGGCTAGAGAGAGAGAGAGAGAGAGAGAGAGAGAGAGAGGAGGGAGGGAGGGAGGGAGGGAGGTAGTAGTAGTTAGTAGTACGACTACGTAACGGAACGGACGGTAGGGTAGGGACGGTACGGGTTACGGGGTTTGGGGTTTTAGGTTAC